TGGCCCCTTAAAAGGTGGGGTGGGACTCGGCCCGGGGGGGGGGGGGGTTTTACCGACAGAGGTTTGTTTGACACAGTTTCGCTTAGGCAGTTTGGAGGGCCCCTTTGCCTTTGTTTTTTTTTTTGTGCCCTTTTAGAGGGGGTTTTTCCGGGTTATTTTTTTTCTTGCACCCTTGTTCCCAAAGTTCCCAAGTTGTTGCGGGGTTATTGGAGGTTGACTTTCCCCAGCAGGGACCCCCGGTTGTTTTTTTGCAATTGTTCCCCGGATTTTTTTGGAGGATTTTTTGGGGGTTTTTTTCTTAGCGGGAAGTGTTGGGGCCTTTTTTTTTTGCCCGTTTGCTTGCCATTAATTGGCCTTCCTTGAGAGAAGGGTTTCCCCCCTTTTTGGGGATTTCCCAAAGGACGTTTAGGATTAGTTTTTTCTTCCCCTTTTTTTTTTTCCCCACAAAACCCCACCCCCCGTGGCAGTTCCGGGCCACGCCCCCCAAAAACCCCCTGGATTACCCCCCCCCCCCCCCCGCAAAACACAACAGGGAGACTTCACGACGGTGCAGTGGGCCATGTACGCGGGGTTCTCGGCTCTCATGGCGTACGCGGAAGGCTTCTCTGGGCTTCCAGAAGAAGTTCTCCCCGCTCGTGGTGAAGCGCGCGCTCACCCTCGACCAAGCAGCGGCGGCGGTCCCGGCGGCGGACGGCGGGCAGAAGCGGCGGCGGCGGGCGGGGCCCCTCCGGCTGCTCCTGGCCGGCCCGTACAGCATGGGCCTCTTCCACGCCACGAAGAAGAGGAAGACGGTGAGCTGGTCGCTGACGGCGGGCGTGCTGTGCCTGGTGCAGATGGTAAAGCGCCTCCCGTACCCGTGGAGGTCCATCGTGGACGCGGGCGTGGTGGTGGGGCTGTCGTATGGGACCCTCTCGATCTGCGTGATCTGGGCGAGGGCGATCCTGGGCAAGGCGCCTTCGATCGACCCGGCGCTCCCGGAGGAGAAGAAGTGAACACGTCGTGGGTGCTGCTGCGGCTGCGGCCGCTGCGCTTTTTTGTGG